CTCTGAGCGTGGTGGCCTTCTCAGTGCAATTCTGAGAAATGGCAACCCTTTGCCTTCATTGCATAGTAGTTTTAAACAGAAAACTTGTATATTTACAGAAGAGAATAATTGCTTGAGATTTTATCGCTGTCATAAATATTAAACGATGATATCAACACTGCTTGACTTCCCAGCAATAATTTTGTTTTGGAAAGTTATTTTCACAAATTCTATGTTCTTTCACAAAGTTACTTAATTGCAAAAAGCTTTTCATATTGCAAGGTTAGAGAACATTGCTTTTTTCATAGTTTTGGAAGCATTTTATGTTTTCATTAGTGATTGCAAATTCTTGACTGTTTTCTGGTAAGTGGAGAGTTCTTTTTTAGCAGTTTGTCTTTATTGTTTAAAAATGTTAATTGGAAGTGTTAGTATTGAATATTGTTCAGAAGCCAAATGTATGCAACCTGTAGAGTTATACGGGACCAGAAGTCTATCACAAGTGACCTTCTAGGGCTGTGTCTTGTCATCTTGGCCTTTATGTTACATCACTGAAAGCTTTCTGAGCAGTTTGGTTTGTTGGTTGGTTTGTTTACCATTTCAAATGTTGCAACACATCAATGTGCAGCACTAACAATATGATCTATTCTTCACAGCAATGTGGTAATTTAATAATATAACTACATTAGAATGAAGTTTGTCCCTGTGCTTTCCTACAGCACAAGCCAACAAGGGCTGAAATTCTAGAGTAGTATTGAAATCCGGTGGTTTTTGAGGCAGTATTTTCAAGTTATGAACCTCAGAGGTGAGTCTGCATTGCATGACATCTGTGCGAGAGATGGGGGTGTTAGTACTGGGTAAAGCAGGTAAATTTGCATGATGCAGTAATGACAAAAGAAATACCATTATGCAAAAATAAAAGGCTTACAGTCCAACAGACATCACACGGAGGCCATTTGACTTGATGGTAGCATCCAAACGGCTTTGTCCTAGCACTTATGGCTCAATATCTGGCTGATTTGCAATCATGTGGGTGATTTTTGCAACACTCTACGTTATAAAATAGTATAAAAGGGAGTTGGACTAGATAATCTCCAGAGGTCCCTTTGAACCATTCTGTGATTTTGTGATAAACAAGAGTGTTCTGGATAACAGTCAGAGCCAAAAGCTCTCTTCAAGTCCATGTAACACAAATAATTGTTCATTAGCCTAAAATGGGTATATCATCTTCCCTCTGTGACCTAACTCAGCAATGACTTTAGCATAAGAATGATTGCTAATTTCTTTAAAACATTTTTATAGGTTCTCATTTCATTGAAAGTTTGTTCTGATTATATATGCCAATATGATTAAATGCCAGTGATACGGATAATGGGCCACAGAAGACTAAAGCTATTAACGGCTAGTCTCCTCATAATCACATTTTTTCCCAATTGAAGCAAAGCAAACAGCCAAACATTACCCTCAAATCCAATTCCAGGACCATTTGGGAAAAGTGAATGTTGTACCATTTCATTTGAATGCTAGAATTAATCTCTATGGTAAGCTTAGCTATCTGAAATGTTGAATGATCTGTAAATAGCATGAAAAATGTGAACAGATTTTTTTTCCCCCAATTGCGGAGGGGCAATAGAAGAAGCCAGAAAAGACTTTGGCAGTAGGTGAAGCCAGCAAAGCTCTCAGTGTTACACAGTGTTGCTGCAAATGTCACTGTTATTTGAACCAAGTATCTGTAAATTTCAAACTTTTTTTTTTTTTAACAGCAGTAAAACATTGAATTGGTGCCATCACAAAGCTGGGGGTAGACAACATGTTTCTGTGCATGTGTGAAGATCTATTTCCTGGTGTCCTTATGCCCCTAGAGGCCATTTGACTTCTCTACTTGCTGCCTTGGAGTTTGTTCTTTGCTTGCTGGTTTGTTTTTGTTCTGTGTCTGTTTTGGAGACCATCTTTGATGTTTTAATAGCATAGAGTTACGGATTTTTTTTGTAAAACTTGGTTTAAAAGGTTAAAATTGGGTAACGGAAAAAAGGCATCACTTTCCAACATGCAACAAACAAATTGAGTTAGCCAGATAAATTCTTCACTTCCTCATTTATTCCTCAATTAATCTCGACTTCTTCTACCAGCTGTGCGAAACAGGGACTGGATGGAGGATTCTGGACACGGAGGGTGGCCACCCAGGCCTTGGTGGCGTCAGAAAGCTGTGCACTCACCTGCCAGCTTCGAGGCCGTAGCACCGTGATTGCTGTTCTCTAAAAAGAGGGGTCTCACGCATAATACATAATAATTGCGTTTTGTTTTGTTTTGGAAGGGCTTTAAATCTGAGAGAAATCCTCTTTATTTAAAAATGCACATTTCTGGAAGTAATAATGCCCCTCCCAAAGTCCCTCAAATGAGAGCTGGACGGAGCCAGGTGGTGAACATTGCTGGAAATCTTCATTTCCGACTTGGCAGTAGCGACCTGATTAGCAATCAGCGTGAAGTGCTGATTGCTAACAGCTTTGGTGCACAGGTCTGGATCAGGTATTGTAATTTAGCTTTCACGTGAACAGCTTGCTTTATGCCTGCAATGGCACTTTCTTGCCAGAACTGCGAGTTTCTCTAAAAAAGTGTCATTCCTTGGATTTGCATGAAAGCGTGATGGGACCTTAGCTGGCTGTTGGCAGTACTGTGTGCCACCTGAAATCACTCTTTTCTTCTAAATATTATAAATGATGCATTCAGTGTAAGCGTGGAAATAAGTATGTGCTTCTTATTTCGCCTTCACCCAACGGGGTTGTCTTGGCTGTCTTTATTCATCTATTTTTTAATATTCTTTTACTTTCAATACATATACTAGTTACAAAAGTAGCTTTTTAGAATGTTCACTTTTGTAGATCAAGCGCAGTCTAAAAAATATATATGTATATTTTCGTTCATTTTCTGTTCAAACACACAATTGAACTACCAGTTAGATTTGGAAGCACAGCAATGAGACTCTTCCTTGTGTTTTGATCCTGGCTGCATGGCAGTGCATTATGAAGTGCAGTTTTTATGTTTCAGCTACAACTTTTCTGACTTCACCTGTTCTCAAATTTAATTTGTAACATATCTTTGGAAAGTTCCGTGTTGTCCATAGATGCAAAATTAGATATTTTTGTTAACAACACCTTTTACAATCACTTCTTTTCTCATAGTCACAGGCTGGATGGGAGACCTATGAGTAAAGACGGAAAGAAAATAAATGTTTGAGCCAGAAGATGATTAATTCAGCGGGGAAGGAGGTGTGGTTGCAAGTCCTTTCTTCATCTTAAACTTGCCTCTGCGGATTTCCTCTGCCCGAATCACAAGTTGCGCCTCGTGATCCCATTCCGCATTAAAGCAGCCGGTTCCAAGGGCGCCTATAAAACTTGCTCTGCCCATCGCTGTCACTGGGCCTCTCGTTGCAGCTAAGCAGCCCGGCTGCTCCTTTCCAAGCCCGGGGAGGCAGAGGAGTCCCAGCATGTCTCCACCTTGGTGCTGGAAACGCGGCGGGAGAGGGGAAGGCAGGTGGTGACTCCTGCTCCTACGTAACGGGAAGCCCCGCGCAGACCGCGTGCCTTTCTCAGCATGGGCTGCCAGCCCTGGCTGTCTGCAGGATGCAGCCAGGCTCTATTAGCCATTTTCCATATTTCATTTATTTGTTTATTTTGCCAAAGTGGTGCCTTAAAGCAGGCTTGTCGGCCTCTGTAGGGACTGCGTATGCAATAGGAAAGTATCTGAGCAGAGCGTTCTTGTTCTAAGCCGTTCAGAATATCTAGGCACAAAGTGCCGTTGTGCTGCCTTGTCATAAACCACTGATAGCTCAGTGGACTTGGGCATCGTTATTAGCACAGGGACAGTGTCCTTCTTAGGTCCCTCTTGTCCAGATAGTTGGAAAGTTCACTAAGATCTTACTGGTGAGTGATTGCTTGTTTTAGTCCCAGAGCCTTTTGAAAAACTAACATTTTCAAAATGTGATTTTATTTCGGAGTCACCATATAAGCCAGTTAGTCTCAAAAAATTGAATTACGCTTCAATTAATACACTTGAATTGATAATCCCTCCCTTTCTCTCATCCATAGTGATTGCTCCTCTGTCTTGGAATAGTGGTTTCTTTATAATCCAGTTTTGCACTGATGCTTAATCTGCCCTTCCAGTCTCATCGATATGGAGCGCGGAGCCTCTGGCCTCCTCCCCGTGCTCGTGGGCAGGATATGCTGCTGCCCGTGGGGCTTTTCCTTCCCACGCGGCTCTCCCGCAGCTCCGCAGAGGAGCTGCTCGTGTGCTCTTGTCCCGAAGGACAGCCTGAGGGATACGGGAATGCCGTTGGACAGGCGTGTGCCGCCGCCCTCAGCCACTTTCTCCTCACGAGCTCCGAGGAGCGACTCGCCGCCTCCGAGGACGGTCTGCGCCAAGTCCATCGATTGGTCACGGGGAAGATCTCGAGAGGGCTTCTGGCGCTGCTGAAAACCCCAGACCAGAGCTGCTGGCATCGAGCCTCGCGGCTCAGCGTGGGAACTTCCATCCCCCGCGTGCTGGCTCAGGGGCCAGGCTAGAGCCGGCGGGGGAGCTTGGGGAACCCCAAGTGATTGCTGGGCTCCTCGATTCTGTGGTTTTCTGACCCACTCGCAGCCTTGCCCGGCGAGGCAGGCGTCCGCGTGTTCCCGCTGTGCTGCCAGGTACCCTGGCCTGGACGGGGACAGCTGGCCTGGGCGCTGGCTCTGCTGGCTCGGGACCAGGTGCAAATTCCCCTCCGATGGGAAAATTCTCTGCTGGGCAGCTGGAGGCAGATTAGGTGCCCTTTAAATCATTGCTTGCTCAGCAAAAAGTGGGGCCTTCCTGGAACTCCACCTTCCATCCTGGGACGCTGAGGGCGGTGAGACTGGTAGGAAATTTACTGAGAGGTTTTACCCAGTGCACAACTGAGCCAGCGCCTCTGATTTTCCAGTCTGACCATCGTTTTCAAAAGCTTAAAGGCTATAATGTGTTGCTGAGCTTTTCCCTCCTCGTGGGAATCCGGCATGTTTGGCACATGCATTTACCGCGCTGGCTTGGGGCTCACGGGGGTCAACCGCAGCCTACAGACTTTTCACCACATGGGCAATGAAGCAGCGAGTAAAAGTTATGATTACCAATTAGTAGTGGCCTGCATGAGGCAAATCATTAGTCTTAGTTCAGTTATTAGTGGCCAGGTGTTCATGAAATGTACCATATGCAGCCGCTTGTGCCTTCGAGTTACACTTGAAGCCAGTGGCTACGTGACGTCCCCGCTACCCAGGCACGCTCCAAAAAAAGAAAGTGTGTCTGGAGTCAGTGCAGGGGTTGCTTTTGTGCAGTATTTTCACGTCCTTACTAGCTGGCATAGTGCTTTGCACCAGAAATTTTAGGAAGCCAGCAACATGAATTTAAGTAGCACTATTTTACTCTGCTCTAACCAGAGATCAGGAAGCCAATATGAAAAAAATTGGAGTTATGTCTTTAGTGTTGTTTCTGTATTGAATCACATATTTAACTTCAGTGTGTTTGCATGGGGTCTCATAGATCTATCCCTGAATAACTGTGAAAGTCTTATTACAGCAAATACTTGCTGCATAGAAACAACTTGAAATATGTAATTAGAACAGGGATTAGGAGTCTTATGTTTCTTGGAGGAGTGTTAGAGGCTTGAAATTATTTTATCTTTGAGTAACTCCCATGTCTGTGGCTTTCAGTATTAGTGAAGAAATGATTTGATCGGCAGTGTCTTTGAGGAGAATTTGTATGAATTGTACAACAGCCGTCCTGAATTCTGTCATATCGGGTCAGGCTTTGAGTAATAGTTGATTAGGGACATCTGGTGGTATAATAATGGAATAATTGTTTGAAGGCTTCCAACTAAAACTGCAATTGCCTTGGACTGTTTAAGGCAGGAACGTAATTACGCTTACACTGTGATTATTCTTCTTTTCAATATTATTATAGAAACACCCGTGACTTTTTACTTTACTTGGTGTATGGTTTTAATTTACAGGCCCGTGAAAAAGAAAAGTAGAAACTAAGGACCTATTCTTGAGTTGACAGCTTGCAGAAATAACGTGTTACTCAGAGGAGCCTTTAATTCTCATTCAATTGTATGTTTGAAAAACGAATCATGGTGCTGGGCTGTGGTTCCGGGGGTAGTATATAAATATAAGTGGGTGTATATAAACTCTATGCGTTTGGGTTCTGTTTCTGTTTTTCTCACTGATTTATGCCATGATTTTGAGTACAGCTCATTTCATTTGGAGTTTTAAGTCTACCTTCCTTTCAGCTTCTGTTTTCCATGCGTAAAGAATCATTAGAAAATAAAATATTTATGGATATTTGGTTACAATGTCCTATAACAATAAAAAATAGAATAAAGAGTTGGATTTGGGGAGGGTGACACTGAACGCCTATGGATCATACATACAATATGATCAGTGTTTTAGGTGCGGTGATTCGCAACTGTTGTGCAATGTTCTTGAAACAGTGATGCTAATTACTATTTTGCGCAGTGTGTAGTGTGTGAGGAATGCAGTTTATACTGTGATCTGTTCCCCCTGCAATCCTATAAAGAGAGAAGCAGAGGGAAAAAAAAAAGTATCTGTTCTTTGCTTTCCTATCAACGTGCCACTGGGGCTCTGAGAAGTCTTGCAGGAAGAATCTGCAGCAGCTGCAACCTCCCCTCCCATTCATCATATCCTGTGCAGAAAAACGTCCATGACCTAAAGCTTTCCCAGCCAAACAGAGACTCTTTACTACTGTCATTATTCACATAAGGAACCCTGCAGTATGTACGGGGGGATATATATAATCAAGCTCAGGATCAGAATGGCTGCTACGTGACTGAACGAGTGACTTTCAGCTTGAGAATTTTCTTCAAGTGAGATATTGCAGAGATCAGCACCGTGCAACATAGAACAGTTTTTCTCACAATCAGAATAACTGTTCCCTGCAGTTCTTTACTGTGGGGTGTTTTCTAGGTCCAGCTTTACTCTCTCTTTTCAGTAACACTTAGGTTTCAGAGAAAACCATCGTGACTTCTTTTCCCTGAAGTAACAGGTTTCCATTGCCACCTTAGTGATTCTGTCACCGTCCTTCCAAAATTTCTCCACTATTGCCTTTGATAAAAGAGAGAAGCACTGGCATTTCTGTGCTGTATGTACCTTTTATTTCTGACATGTTCCAAGGCTGTGGTGACAACAGAAGTTGCTGCAGACTTGCTAGAGACCCGCTGATTCCCATGAATGAAACTGGTGTTTTTCCAGAGCCCTTCTACGTAATATTTAATGTGCAACACTTTACATTGCAAGCAGTCCGTTACAGAAAAGACTGTTGTTTTTGTGTTTCAGGTGCAAAGATGGCTTGAAAGGATTTACATACTCTGCACTAAAGTAAGTAAAGAGGTTCTCTGAGTACATAGTCTGAAGTGATGATTTTGAGGAATTCTGAATAATGGAAATCGTGTTATGCGAAAACAGAGTTTTTTTGAGGAAAAAAATCACCCAACATGCAATTGTGAAACTTTTCCAACTTTTGGAATATAGTGCATGTTTTAAAGAAGGCATAATATGCTGGCAGGAAAAGGATCTTCATATTTGAAACCATTACAGAAAGAAAATGCAGACGTATGGTTAAGTGCTTTTGAAGGAACATTAATCTTTCCATTTGCTAAAATTGGGATGCATGATTCCCAGTATTCCTCTGGAAGCAAATGACTCCTGTGTTTTGACCTGAAGGTTGTTTGCAGTGTTTTCGGAATGGTGAATGAATTGCAGTAGGTCTGTGAGCAGCACCAAGACCAGGCATGGAGTCTCACCAGACTCATTTGAGATGCCCTGTGCCACTCAACCTTGCTGCCTTGCCTGGAATTTACTTTGTGGTGAGGTTCTGCCTGGGGTCACTCACGCATTTGGGTAGTAAACAGCTGGCTTAGTGCTCTGTGTCAGTAGTGTGATGTCTACAGACCCTACTCTTGTCCTTCCCTTGCTGTATGCTCCCATCCCACCAAGATAGCCAAGTGCATGGACAGCATCAGCTCCAGGTGATGAAAGGACTGAAGCTGATGTCAAGCAAAACAGTGTTGCTGTTGCTGATAGTGGAAAGTATTTTAGAGAGGTTACAGCCATGAAACAGCTGTGGAATGTGATAAAAGGTGCCAATAGTTAAGTCAGTCAGTCCATAGTTTAGAAATCTGGGCATGAAGCGCTCATGTGACAACCTGCATAATCAGGGCTTTCTGAAGCCACCAGTTTACTGGGAGATTCTGTACTGTGCTGAATGACAAAATTTTATCTATATCTGCACCAGCCTTCAACAAGATTCCCACAGTACCACGTAACTCGGATTATAGTGCAAAGGGCTGGAAAACAGTACATCTTGTTACAGGAACCTCTTTGCCTGCGGAGACGGTATCAACTGGTGAAGAAAGAAAGCTGAAGACAAAGCCAAGCAAAACAAAGCTGATGCTGCTGATGGGAGAAAAAGCATTTTGAAGATGTTAAAAGATACCTTATTAAAATAAGATTTCGATTATTAAAGATTTTGATAATTAAAATTCATTTGACTCCTATTGCTGCAAATAACTTGAGATATGTGCCTTTTTTTCTTTTCCTTCGGTGTTCTTCCTTAGAGATGGGCTTCCCCAATATCATTCTTCTTCTGTTTTTAAAAAATACCAAAACCATTTTTGGCCATATCTGAAGTATAAATATATGTTGGTGGACTGGTCTTTTTGAAGAGGCACAAGACTTGGCCCCTGTTTAGGATACATTTTCTTTTGCAGACTTGCAACTTCGAACTTGACTTAAAGACTTAACAGAGTTGTATTGATCTTTGATTGTACTTTTTGACTTATATGAATAACTGATGTTTTGTTCTGCGGTATTTTTTTCTTTTAGAAAACAGCGTTTTCAAGAACAGATAGGAAGATAAAGCATCGTGAAAAAATCTCACAGTCAATGAACATACTGGCTCTAACGAAAAAGCTCATGGACAAAGTGTGAGTCAAAGGAAAACAAGGGAAAAACAAAGCATAACTAATCATTTTACTTAGCTCACTTTCATGGGTTGTTACACTGTATATGACAGTATTTTGTTCACTTAAGAGATTTGAATTTTGTTTTTCTGGGTAGCTGTCAACAGCAAATTATGGACTCTATAATTAAGCTAAGTTTGAGCTGTGTGTCATGGAAGAGTTTCAGCATGACCTGCACTGCACAGTTCTCTACCAAGAGGGTGTAAGTCCAGTCAGGTTTGAGTGGGAGAGGGGTATTTGGTTCTTCTGCAGTATTGTGCAAAACCACCTCACAGCTGGTTCCACTGGTATTATTCTCTGTCTACCAAGTGCAACTTACCATCTTTCAATAGGAGCTTAAAGAAGGGACGTCATGTAGCTTATTCAGTCTAAGAGCTTATTTCATGTAGCTTATTTCAGTCTAAGATTCAGTCTAAGATTTGTCTGCTTCAAGCGTGTTGTGTACCATGAGGAAGAATTCATTCTAGGGAAGATGGGATAGCAAATAATACAAGGATCTGATCATGTCATATCTGAATCTTCACTTCCACTGGCCTATCCAGGAACAGATCTTTACCTGCCCACATGCAGGAGAGAAATAAGTCTTCAGAGTGCATTGTATTATCAGAGTAGTGGCTTGTATTACTTGTTCAGATGCTGAACAACCATAAGCTGGCCTACATCACATGACTGCTTGTGTTTTTAAAATGAAAATATAAAGGAAATTAGCACGGGCTTTTCACGGAAAGCTGGATTTTGACAGCAAAAGACGTACCAACAGAAGAAAAAAGGTGCAGCTATATGTAGTTTCCTTTAACTGAGTTCTTTATATCTTGTTTGTCTCAAATCCCCCTTATTTATATCATTAGAGTAGTAAAAAAGCCGTCTATTTATTAAATATCCTAAAGGAGCTAAGAGGGTAAGGGTGGAGAAGAGTGTTCTTCCTTTAAGTTTTTGAAACTCCCTATTCAGACATTCAGAAAAACTCCTATTTTCAGTCCTCATGCTCTCACAGGTTTTTCTTCCATATGGTTCTTTTCAGTATAATTGAGTCTAAATGCCTGTAACCCGATCACATTCTCTTTGCAATTTTTGCTACACAGACTGACCTCATGGATGATTTATGGCCATTAGACTTTATATTACAAGACTCGAAACTTCTAAGATATTTGGCACAGTATAGAAATTGTGTAATTTATTTTGTATTAAATCTTAAATACTTGGCTACAGCAAAATGTAATGTTCAGACCTGGTATGACATTACTTCCTTTTAATTCTGCATAATGCGGGGATAACAACTGCACAATCCACACATCCCACAGAGCAAACCAATCTCTTCCCTGTGCTCAAGGTTAAATTCTCAGCACCAACTAAGAGCCACAGCAAAATCTATACAGTAGGAGTATATTAGCCCAAAAGTGAAGGATTTTGATTGAGACTCGCTGGGAGTCTCTATGCATTGGTATTTTCTACGTTGCCTTCCAATAAACCTTAAAGTAGAGTGAATTGTATAAGGGCACAGGGAATGGATAGTTGCCTAAATACAATTCCAGAACCATGGAGTGGAGACAGACTGGGAAGAACAGTTCCACCGGAGTTATGTGACATGGTTTTTCCCCGTCGGCTGCAGCAGAAAGTTTGTTGTTTAATTTTGTATTTATAGGTGCAGCACTGCAAGAAAAAGAGGTTAGATCAAAATGAGTGTGCAGACATTTCTGCAGTACAACCGAAGTATTGTTTGTTTTTATTGCACTTCTATAACATTGTAAACATTCACAGGGCCCTTCAGTAGGTAACGCAAAAAAATGAAAAGTTGGAAAATAGCATTTTATGTATTTTTAGGCAAGAGATATTTATGAAGTCTCCTGTTGATTACATTGAAAACAGCTACAAGTTAATATGTGTTTCATTGTGTTCTTTGCAGGTGCAAACATGGCCCTAGGCATCGCTGCTGTAAACACTATGAAGATAATTGCATTTCATATTGTATTAAAGTAAGTGCAAAAGATGTTGGATTGACAGGCTCTGGCAAAGGGAAAGGTGGATGTTTTAAGCCTGAAAAAGCTTAAACTTAGGATATGAGAAGGGAGCCTGTTCCCGATTCTTTTTCTATTGAAAATATGACAAGCTTGGGAGCAGATTTGCTCAGGTTGGGAGGAAGTTAGGGTTCTCTAGTGCTGCTGAAGGAAACCAAGAGCGTTAAACACGTGGGAAGAAGGGATCCACGGGCGAGGAACTCGCTGGGCTGCGTGACGAGGCCCTTGGCCGCGGGGCCTGTCCACAACAGCCTCGGCTGCGCGTCGGGCCCGTCCGCGCCGCTCCTCTGCCCGGGCGTTTCGAGGGCTTTGGGTAACGAGAGAGCGGCCGCAGTTGCTGCCCGGGCGCAGAGCTCCCCGTGGGCCGTGGCTGCCTCCTTCCTAACGTGCTCAGCACATTTTTTTCCCAGGAGGATTGGGAAGGGGAGATGGTTTTGGCTAGCGTTAGGGGGGCGCAAATGGTACCATCTGCTGTGCTTTTTTTTTGAGGAGCTAGTGAAACTCCAGATCTTCATTCCTCAATATTTTGCTCATTGTTAGCTGGATTTGAGGATTTTCGGATCCTTAAGTATTCTTCTTCTTATATTCATTTTTTACTTTGAGGAATAACATTTTAGAACAAAATTTATATGTGGATTTTTATCTTATAGTGCCATGGTTAAGATTTAGCATCAGAAGGGATCAAGCAGTTATTTTTAGTGGCTCTTTTTGTATGTGTATGTACTGTGTCATATTGTGCTGCTTTGAGTTATTTTCACTCTTTTTGCACTGCAGTACATTAACCTGTCAGTGTGTAGCTTGTACGTAAGCCACCCTGGAATTGATGGTATTGGAGAGAGTACTTAAATCTGCTGATTTAGGATGAAAGCGTAAAATACAACTTTCACAAAATATTCAGGATAATTTTATTACCATTCTAATGCAGGTATGATGACACATATTTAACAAAATTAGGATTTAAATAACAAAACGTTTTTGTATTGGGACAGTAAGAAGAATCATACATCACCTTATTTACCATTACTTTGTTCAGAGTTTTCCTACTTTGAAAGTTCTCTGTTTTTTGTTTTTGTTTTTTTTTTTTAATGGGACACAAAAGATCAGCCAAGATAGTTTAACTTAGTAAAAGTTAAACTTTTATAAACTTTTAGGTAAAAACTTTAAACTTTTAGGTAAACTATAACTGAGTATAGAAAGAGCCTGCTCTCAGCCTAAAGGAAGACAGTATTCAGAAGACAGATACAGAATATTTGAGAACTGCCTGGATTAGTTTCCCTATAATTTTTGTACTTTTTATATAACTTTATTTGATTTCTCTTTTGATTCCTGGTGGTTGCATATGCATGCCACCATCATGCTAAGTCAGCATTCCATGTGCAAATGTATATATTAGATATAAGCTTAGTTCCTGGCTATGAAGATGTTATCTACAAACCGATATTTCGCAAAACATTCTGACCGCTGCTTCAGATGAGGTTTTTGTTTTCAGCTTCTCAGCACAATGTCAGACCCCCTAGAAAGCTTAAGGTTGGAAGGGACCTCTAGAGATCATCTAGTCCAACCCCCCTGCACATGCAGGGTCACCTAGAGCACGTGGCACAGGACTGCATCCTTTTTGAAGATCTCCAGAGAAGGAGAAGGAGACTCCACAACCTCTCTTGGCAGCCTGTTCCAGTGCTCTGTCACCCTCACTGTTAAAAAA